CGAAGGACAGCATGAATCAAAGCAAACATGGTTTTAATGTATGAAATGTGAGATTCACAGCCAAAAATTCACGTTAGTAGTCGTCCATTTTTGTATCTGACTGACCTGTGCTGATAAATTGGCAGGTTCCGCTGTGCCTCCCGCAGCTTCTTCAGTTTGGCAAACTTCTGTTTCTGCAGGAAGTGCAGGTAGGCGGCGAGCACCTCTCGTCCTCTGCGGGCCTCCGGCTCCCGCCGCTCGCGCTCCTGCCTCTCCAGCTCGCGCGCGTCGCGTCTGTCCCTCACCCTGCGCTCCACGAACAGCGGGTTGGCCAGTCGGAGGTCGTAGGCCGGCAGGGGGAACGGCTCGGTCACCTTTCGCGAGGGTTTCGGCGGAGGCGGGGAGCGGCCCCGCTCGACGCCGGCCGCCGCCAGTCGCCGCACGTACAGCGCGTGGAACGGCCAGAAGCCGGTAGCCTCCTCCGAGCCGGGCTTCAGAGGACATTCACTCGAGCGGAGGTAGTCCGTGAGAAAGGCACGTTCACGAGCCTCACTGAATGGGCGAGCAGAGGCAGAGGAGGGCGGGGAAACAGAACGACGAGCGTTTGGAGAGCGATCTAACCGAGCGCGCTTGTGGCTGGGAGAGTTGTCCCTCCGGCGATCAGAGCTGTCCCTCCGGGAATCATAGTTCTCCCTCCTGTAGCTAGAAGCCTCTTTGCGACGATCATAGCTGTCCTTCTGGCGATCATAGCTGTCCCTCCGGCGACCAGAGACGTCCCTCCGGCGATCTAAGCCGTCGCACCGAGGACTTGAGCTTTCCCTTCGGCGGCTCGAACTATCTCTCCTGTGGCTCGAGCTATCCCTCAGTCGATCAGTGTTGTCCTTCTGGCTTACAGACCCATTTTCTTGACGATCTGAGCCCCGTTTTCGATCATCTGAGCTGCGTCCTCGGTCATGTCTGTGAGTCGTGTGCCGGGATTTCGGACTGTCACCATCTCGGGACCGTTTCCGTCGTTCAGAACCATGTCTGTCAGTCTTCCGACCAGACATCTGAGCTGTTATTGCCTCTCAGAATGGCATCAAATGCTGCATGATTTATCTGGCATATTCCTCTAGTTAGGTAGGCTACGCTCTATTTCAATTGATAGCACTGCCTGTTGGACAGAAAAATGACAAATGGGTCATGCTTCAGGTCAGAAGCCAAAAGACACTCTAATCTCTATTCATGTACCAAGAAAGAGAGCAATCAAATCGATGAGCACCCTTCTCCCCTAGGGCCTAAATGTTAGTCAAGGAGTCCCTAAATTCATGGTCACACAAGGTAACTTTCACTGAAGTAGAACCAAGGCTCATGACTCAAGTCACAGCTAATTAAGCGCTATAATACCATGCACAGGGCAATAACAATGCAATTCCAAGAAATAAATTAGGAATGTTATTGACAGCTCACAAAATGTAAAAGTGATGTCCATAAGAATCAACTAGCAATCAGATGAAAAAAAAATCAATAGGTACAGCATTTACTGCAAAAATAATGGCATTTGCCATAAGAGTATGAAGCCTTCATGAATTGTTTGGAAGCCATGCGGAAGCTTCATAAGTGGGTACACAATGTCAATGGTGGAAAAGGTGGCAATGTCTTGCTCTCACCAGGAAATAGTCTTGCTCTCACCCTTATCAATGAGGTCTAATAACTGGGGATAAAACCTCAAGGACATTTAGTCAAACCCCAGTCCCCATAAGCTCTGGGCACTGGGCAAATTTAACTGAAGTGTAAGAAGAGGTGTTCCTTTCCTGTCTGACTCATATACACCTGCAATTCAGTACCTCAGTTCAGTGACCTATGTGCAGTTAACCAATGATGCCTTTGCCAATAAATGCCAGCAAGAAACTTTCATTCACAGAGGGAGCAATGCCAAGTTTGGCTCATTCTTCATTATGCCTGAAGGAGTTACTCTGCGACATCAGGGCCCTGTTTCACCGGTGATAGCAGCACGCTGCTACCACACGTGTCAAATTGGGTTTCCATGGAAACATCTACAAACCAAGGCGTCGTCAAACTGTGTGATGTCATCAAATATTGCTGCTAACATCTTCACGGCCGTGCGAATGTATCAAACGCATTCAACGAGACAGCAACTCTGTTCCATACGTAGCTATGAAAAAGCTCACGGATTATATGAAACGTCATTAGTGTGAGGTCATCACATTACGTCAGCTCGCGCAATTTGATAGTAGCGTGCTGCTATCACCAGTGAAACAGGGCCCAGTTGAAAATCCAGATCTTCCCAGCAGTTTTGAGGCCCAAGGCCCGAGGGTCAGGTAGTCTTCCTCGGGTGGCCAATCATGAATGGCTGGAATAGACTCATCCAAACAACAAAGTGGTTTAGGCACTCAATAAACTACTCCAAAGTTCATTTTCAAAGTGAGACTGGATGCAAACTGGTCTCATATCAGATGTTCCAATCCATACCTAGCACTGATGTATCTTTATGCCATAAATAGCATGGAGTTCAATAAGATCACCAGAACAGGCAGAACAGGTGCCACAGCCATGACTGAAAATGCTTAAAAATCTTGACTGTAAGGCACAGTAGATGGGAGCTGCCAGGGGCTTGATGAGTCTGGCATTATATATACATAGGTCTGACAAAAAATCCTGAAAATATAAGGTCAACTGAAAAAAGAATATCAGACAAGACCATCAGCCATGGATCAATATTTTTCTCAGTTTATCACGTTTTAAGCAATGATTCATTGGCATGTTTTGATGAAATGCTAAAATTCAGAACTCAAGCAGCAGAAGCAGTTAAAAAAGCTAACCGTGTGCTTGGTGCAATACGCAGATCATTTGCCAACATCGACTCACAGACCCTTCCGCTCCTATACAAGACTTTGGTAAGGCCTCTGCTTGAATATGGCAACGCTATCTGGGGACCTCACAATAAAGAAGACCAGTTGATGGTGGAAAGGGTCCAGCGGCGGGCTACAAGGTTGGTAAGCCACATACGTGATCTGCCGTACAGTGAACGTCTTCGAATTCTAAGGCTTCCTTCACTCCAATATAGAAGAAGAAGAGGCGATGTTATATTATGCTACCAGGTAATGCACAGTAAGCTTGATCTGCCAAGGGAAAACTTCTTTGCTGAGCCCACATGTAGAATTACAAGAGGTCACCCGCTCAAGGTCGCAAAGCCCCATGCCCAATCGAGGGCAAGAAGCAATCACTGGAGCATACGAGTCATTAATGACTGGAATTCTCTACCTGCAGAGGTTGTAATGGCCCCATCACTGAACGAGTTTAAAGCATTGTTAGACAAGCTATGGGCAAGAGAAAAATACAGGCATCTTTAGAAGTCAAGAGCCAATTATAACAATGATACTTGCTACATGATAAAAAATCACGGTTAAACTACTTAGAAGATTAAGAAATTCAAACAAAGAGCGAGCAAAACAGGTGTAGAACACCTCAAACAGCTCGTATTCTACAAGGTACAAGGTACAAGGTATGTCAAGACAAAATCCTAAGCTTTCAAAATACGTTTCGCATATTCATACATTATTTGAGCGATTCATTGGCAAGGGCTGACATAAATAAAAAATTATGTCAATATAAATTGCACTTACTACAGTATATAGAGAACGAAGTAGAAATCACGGTATGTGCAACAGGCACAGTGTACGGCAAGGCCGTATACACATAGGTGTACGGTAATTATAGGTGTACGGCATTATAGGTGTACGGTATTATAAGTGTATATAGGTGTACGGTAATTGGGGTATATGCTAGATTTTTTATTGCTACCTATGCTAGGCAGCAAAATAACATTATCCAGAATCGGTTTACATACCCCGCGTCAGCGTTCGATGTTCGATGTCTCTCAGACGGCAAAGATTCTACGTCGTCCGGCCAATCACGTTCCATAGCCGCAGCCGAGCCCCCACTGACCTTGAACGGGATTGGCCGGACGACTTAGAGAATCTTCGTCGTCCGAGAGACATCGAACGCGGGGATAGCCTTGAGCCCCCTGCTTGAGCCATCGCATCGCTAGCCGCGTCCAGGGTATATAGAACAACGGGTACACCAACGACGCGGAAAGCGCCCATTTTACGTGGATGAGTTACATGGTAGGTGATATATTTTTTGAATATGGAAAAAATAGAGTATTCTATGCTGACGAGTAAAGCCAAATTCATAAAGCAGTTATTTTTTAATTATATGTACCAGAAATAGCCTACTGACCATAGCTTAAAACTTAGTCTAAAGTTAGTTGAAAAGCGTATAGTTGATACTAAGATGGAAGGAATCAATGGAAGGCGGAAATGGCGCAGCTGTTTCATTCTTAAATTGTGTTCGCAAGCAGGATTTACGTAATGCTAGCGACATCTATTAATGTAATCGGGGACGCTGATTGGCTGAACGAGTCCGTGAGCAGTATCACTAATGTACGCCAGTACAGGGTTGAGGCAATGTGCGCATGCGCAGGAACTTGTGCTCTCATGGAGGGGCTTTCGGTACCTCGGGCAGCGCCAAATGCTTTTTGGACCTGTTATGGCCTCCGCATCGAAAAACGCCAGATAAAAAGGTTTTAGAGGAAGCTTGAGGCTACCTTTCCCCACAATAATATTGGCACTTTATCTTTTAGCTTACGTGTGAGGCTCGCTTGAAAAAGGTCGATTTAACATGGAAACCCTATGGGGTAGTAGTTTTTGAGCGCCCATTTGGCCTAATGCTACCAACTGTTACTGGCTACCCCTGAGCCGCGTCAGCCTTTCGAAACAGACGCGCTACTTATGTAAAAGTGGTACCATTCGACGCAGTTGGGATTTCAGTATATGACGTTTTCTGTAAATATGATACAATTTGTTTTTATAATTGTCATTTTTAAACATCAATGCAATGTATATTCTTTAGCATACAATATGTATTAATTTTATACTCTATTGATCAAAACACGATATTTTCTGACCATTCTTATTTATGAATACGTCATCAGTTTAATTCACACACTTATTGCATCTTCTGTCGTTTGTTTTGCCACAACACGTGGGCGTGCGACTGCGATCTCTGTGGAGTTTTCTGGAAGGGTTTGGTTGGTATAATAGAGCAATAATCTTGATTTTCTGGTTTATTATAGCTCGAACCCGGGCTCTGCGTCTGTCAGGGTTGACGGATCAAATCGATAGAACTTCTCAAAACAGCTTTTGGCGTTCACCATCGAGGAGGAGCAAAGCCCACGGTAAGAACAAATCGAAATCACTCGGCCATTGAGCTTTTTGGACACAAAACAGTATGAATTGGGAGGCGGGAACGCAATACGCAAGCAACACAAAATGTTTCAGATGTGACAGCCCAGGGCTTGCATTATTCTTGCATTATGTGCAAGAATGATGCATGCAATAATAGCTGAAATAAATGGCATTACTAAATACTTAAACTATTTCTGCTTCTTTTACTGGGCAGGCTGCCAAAACACCATTGAACAGCTATCCCTAGGGATAGTCCCATCTGAAACATTTGTTATCATTCCATGCATCCCAGCTGCAATTTTTATTGCAAATGAGAGGGCTGGAATGACCATTTGCTTGTTTCCATTTTCAATTTTTTATTGTAAATGAGATTGTTTGTTGACCATTTCTTTGTTTTCTCATTTTCAGAAAGACTGATAACTGGCTAATCAATCATGTCGAGCAATGAAGGAGCGCCAGCTGATGGCTCTGGCTCGGGCGACGGGCGCCGAGACCAGGTGAGGGACATGCAGGGTCTGTTGCGCCTCAGCATCCAGCACGGCACGGCAGAGCCGGCTGACCCAGGTGCGCCGATGGACGACGAGCGCCGTCAGTTCCTGGCCGCAGCGATGCACCACGCCAGCTCGGCCATCGCGGATGCCCTACGGACAGCGCTGGCGGCGCTCGCCGAGACAGACACCGAGCGACAGCTGGCCGCCCTACGCGTGCTCCGAGATCACGTCGACCAGGTGGACGTCGCCAACGACTTCGAGAAGATGGGCGGCCTGGCGGCGGTGCAGCCGCTGCTGGCCAGCGCTGACGGGGAGATCCGTGCCGAGGCGGCCGGCGTGCTGGGCGACATGGTGCAGAATAACCCGCAGTGCCAGCGGGCGGCGCTGGCGGCCGGCCTGCTGCCGCAGCTGCTGAAGGTGGTGCAGGCCGACCCGGAGCCGGTGCCGCGCGTCACCGCGCTGCAGGCCGTCTCGGGTCTCCTGCGCCACTACCCGCCCGCCCAGGCGGTGTTCTGCGCGCAGGACGGCTGCACGGCGCTGGTGTCTGCCATGCAGAGCGGCCAGCCGCGCATGCAGACCAAGGCCGCCTTCCTGCTCGGCACCGTGTGTTCGGAGAGCGGCGAGCTGCGGCGCCGGGCGCTGGACGTAGGTCTGATAGAGCAGGTGTGCGGCCTGCTGGCGGCGCCGCACCAGAGCTGGCACGAGCACCTACTGGCCGCGCTGACAGTTCTGGCGGCTGACGGAGGCCGGGCGGCGGCCGAGTGTCGCCGGCCCGAGCTGCGGCTGGCCCAGCTTCTGACAGTGCGCGAACAGGAACTGAAGGGACTGGATGAGGCGCTGGAGGTGCTCGAGCACTGCCGCACACTCCGGCAACTCTGTTTCTCGGCTGAAGATGAGGGCGAGCGGTGATGTAATTCTGTGTTTACATCTGACGTACTAATTGCTGTGCAGTTAGGCTTGGCAGGCTCGATGTCGTTGCAAATGTCCGCGATGCAAAGTGCCACGGTTTCAGTAAGGCAAGAAACCGTTACGGCTTACGCAGACCTAGCACTCTAACGTAATATTCATTCGGTGCGACACGTGCCACCAGCGCTTGGTAAGACATGTAGCCTAAAGCATAATCGCCTGAAAGCATGGTGTCCAAATGGATCCCATTTAAGATATGGACATTTCATTGCAACCGTGTTCGAAAGATGTGTCGTTCGGTCATATTATTGTCATTTATTTTGCAGTCATATTGGTGAGGAATTGGCGTCTTATACTTGTTACATGACTTATTGGCCACTCTGTATTGCCATGATGTCCTGAATAATCAACAAACAGTTCATACTGGGTTGTGAAAACTGAAAACGATTTTGCTGTATCGGGTGTTACGCCTCGTGTTACTGAGGAACCAGATAGGAGCTTGCCGTAGTCAATTCTGTTGGAGAACTTAAGTTAGCAGGAGTTTTTACGATCAGCGGGCTCTTATATGCACTCATCTCTCTTCAGTGTGATCGAAACAACCATTTGTGGTACCATGATCAAGGACAAGGTGGCCCAGGCTGGCCCAGGCGAAGTCAGAATGAGAGAAATGTTCACCATCGCAAGATATTTTCGAATTGAATGCAACACGAGCTCCATGAATATTTTCTCGAGCCTAACAATCGCTGGACCTATCGATTTCCTCATAGTGAGGGTGGGGAGGGGGGAGTGGACAGAACATTCTCGCTGTTTCGCCAATAATTGAACTTGAGCGTTGGGAACGAGAGCCGCGACGTTACAGGACGCAGGGATTGGTATCCACAAGTCAAACTCCGATATCCATGTAGAGAAGCGCCCTCGCAAGACCTGTCTGTTTACCATATGCTTAGCGGTTTTTCACAGGTCGAGGGTGATGAACCCTCGTCGCCGTTTCGCCCCTTAATTGAGCTAGAGCTTCGGGCTTCGCGGAAAAATGAACATGTACTTCGTTTCGAGACACACGTCTCTGGATTTTAAGGTCCCTGGTAAATTAGTGACCTGAGGTCAGGTTAACCCGGCAGGCGGTGGGCCTCCCGCCCACCTTCCGAGCGGTGGGGGGGGGGGGACATTTTTTGCCCCCCCCCCGTATCTCCGAAATACTGGACGGATCCGGAAAATTCAAACGGCGTTCGATAGCCCTGTCAAATTTGTCGAAGGAAACCAAATTTCATTGACCTCGGGGTCACCGATGACGTCACAGGTGAGTTCAAAGATAAAATGTTTTACCGTTCACAGGGCTTCTAGGGAAAGCGCTATAACACCGAGTAAAACGCATTTTGTCGAAAATCAGCGATAGGGCGTCAGTTGTCTAGTACATGTGTTGCTATTAGAGGTCACTGGTCATACCAGGTCAGGTCACAGGTCAGGTCACCAAGGGTCATCACATGAACCCAACTTTACTAAGGTTGTGCGATGCATGTTTTATGGCCAGTTTTTTTTTCATTTCCAACTCAATGGTTTTGGTTATAAGACCATCAGGTACGGTTTAGGTCACTTTCTGGTGGAGGTCAGGTCAAGGTCAGGTCAAAAAAGGTCAAATTTCAAAGTTGATATTTTTGCATAAAATGGGTATTGATTCGATGCAGCTCGTCACGGGGAGTCTAATGGTGGTCTTTGTTTTGCGCTACGAGGTCTAGAATTGCTAAAAATTGAGTTTGAAAATTTGACGTCATCAATTTTGAACAGTTTTTTCGCTATAACTTGGCCAAAAAAAGAGGTATCGATCTCAAATTTGGTATGTAAGGCGGGAGGCACTATTACATATCTTCCGGTTTTTTCGAAATTCAAAAAACTTTTTGGATTTTTCGGCTATTATATTCAAAAAATCTATTTTTTATTTTTGGGGATCAAAAACAAAAAATTTCAAAAATCCGAGATAGCAGTTTTGTAGCCTTCTAAATTCTATACCTTTTATCTCAGAAACATTTTTCTGTATCTCTAAAGCTGTAGGCCTGACAGCTCTTCCCGCGAAACCTTTTTTTGGGTCGAAAATGGCAAAAATGACGTCACTCTGACGTCATTAGCGGCCAACCTATCATAGCCTTTGGAAAAATGTTTGGTCACAATGTGCAAATAGCTATTCACGGGAGGGCGCTGAGAGTTTGGTGACGATCGGCGCAGCGGTTCTCGAGATACCTATCGAAAAAAAACTAAGGGGGGGGCAAAAAAATGCCCCCCCCCCCCTGGAAGGTTAAGTCCCAGGGTGTTTTTTTTTTTGCGCGTAGCCTCTCTAAAAACGGTCGCAGAGCCGGCGATTTTGGCACCATCGCCTTTGTCATGATCAGGTGCGTTGAATGATACATGTACTATGCATTTTATTTGGAACAAGTCATCTTGGGGTGTTGAGTGTTTACTTCAGATCAAGGTCAGGTCACAGCCTCTCAGGTTACGGAGGGAGATAGTCGAAGGAAGTCATATTGTATATCGCTTGACTCAGCAGGTATTCCAGGGTCCATTGATGGCTTTCCCGGCCCGCTAGTTCATTTTGATCGCATTACCGACAGAAAAACACCGATAACCTGAGCCGGCGCTGGGCCGGGTGTACATGAAAAGGAACACCCTACCTCTGAGTTTTTTTCGCAGATGCCTATATCTGATATCTCAAAAATGGCTGCGGGAGCGCAGTGATTTCTGACACACCTGTTCATGCACCTTTTCTACACATGTTATTTCTGACCCAGGTCTCTCAAGGTCAGGTCACCAGGTCACATCAAGTGACTTTACCTCAGCAAAAGTTAGAATGCTCGCTGTAGCTATGCAAACCGACTGAGCGGTCCCTTTGAAACTTTCAGCGATTGATAAGAGTAACAGTATGTATAAAATGTTTATCTCGGAATTTTGATATCGGTGACCTAATAGGTATCCGGTCAATTTTACGCCCTCTCCATTAGGTATGCATTCCCAAGTTAATGGGAGAGGGAGAACATTGAAAGGCGCATCTTTTCGACGAACGTTGTTCTAAACACTCAAACATTGGTTACAGCCCAGGTAAAAATGACACACTATGTAAATAAGAAAATACCACCCGTGACTCCTCATGCCCTGAGGTCATCTCTGGTCATGGAAGGTTATGATACAGTTTTTTGAAAATAACTTTTAGCCCACGCCGTGCTGGTGGCCTGTGTCTTCCGTGTCGTGCTGGGGGCGGGGCGTTTTCACGCCCCTCTCTCTAACTTGGCTCCTTGGCCACGTAGCGACACGCGGTAAGCGGCAATCGAAAGAACGTCAAAAATGTCAAAAAAAAAAAATGACTGAAACACTTCGGTTTTTTTTTTAGGTCAGGTCAAGGGTCAGGTCACCAGACTCCAAAGGTCATCAAAGGTCAAATTTCAATAGTTCAATTCAATAAAGGTCCACTTCAATAATTTTGGAATCTGCCAACGGCTTACTCGAGAACCAATAGAGCTACAGCGCTGCGGAAAAGCGCATTCGATAGCCCTTTTACAGACCTTTCTGAGCATTGTTATCAGATTTGACCTCAGGTCAACGTTTTAGCCTCCTGGGGGCAATACTAGAAATAGCCTTTTTCACTCAAGAGGGCCAATGACATTACTTTTGTTCAGCATCGTGTTCCTCTATTCGAGACGCGTCGAATGAATTACCTATTAGTTGACCTTGAAGGTCATTTGGAAAATTTGACCTCAGGTCAAGGTCATGACTTCACCCGAAAGGGTCATATTGCATATCAGGCGATCCGTATAGTCGAGCTAAACACAAATGACGTGTTTTCACCGCTCTAGCAAGTAGCACGTCTCTATCAAACGTTATAGCTAAAAAAAAACTGCTGGTGACCGTTCATGACCTGAGATGACCTCAAGGACACACATAGGGGTCACAGAAGCATTTTTCCGTTTCAGTGTGTCGTGTTTACCCATGAAATGATATTTGAGAACGTTTTGAACGACATTCGCCCAAAACAGGCGCATTTCAATTTTCTCCCTTTGACTTGTAATGGAAAGGTCGCAAAATTGACCTGACCTTCGGTCACAGATATATAAAAGATCCGGGATATATATTTTATACATACTGTAACTGTTACTCATATCAATCGCTGAAAGTTGGATCCGGATTGGATCAAATGTCAGGCAAACCAGTCTCCAACTTTCAGCTCTATAGCAGAACGAGTTCCGAGCAATCGAGAGAAACCGTCAGGGGAGGGGGGGGGGGGGGCCGTGGCGCTCCACGAGGCACAACTACCTATAGGTACCTATGTCTTAGACTTGTCATACGATTCACTTGGGGTCAGGTCAGTCTTGAGACCTCACCAATAGGTGTCCCCAGTCTCCCCTAAATGTATGTTTCCAATGTAACGTTTAACATTTTCATCTCCCCAATTCCAGGATACTGATGAATGCAGATCGAGTGAGAGATGAGGGAAATGATGACGGGTAACCCCTAAAACGAAATAGCCAATGCATGTCATACATTGCAGTACCAAATTTCAGATTAGGCTTATTTGTATGGGCTCTTTGATAGCCCATGGTTATGGATATTGGTAGCATCAAAGCATTTGGTCAGATCACCAAAATAGGTAACTAATTTGGTGAACTGACCTGATATCGGTCTTGCCCCTTACATGACGCCTTAGTGGGGCCTCGAATCTGTGACCTCTTTTGCAAGGCTCAACATATATCAAGTCAGAAAGGCGATTCGGTGTAGATAATAGATATATCAGTGCCCACTATTATGATTGCACCGTGACCTGAAAATTCAACGAATGACCACAAAATCGAAACCTACGTGTATAGCTTCCTCTACATAGTTACAGGCAGTACATATACGCCGTTTTTCCGAGAAGTAATCGTATGCTTTGAGATCTCTCTAAATGTAAATGACCTTTGAGATTAAATCCTGAGCGCGAAGTTATGTTGTTTTGCTTACGTTTTAATACTAAATAGATAAATACGCTGTGTCAAAGAGTTCACCTTTTTGTGCAGTTTTTCGTGTCCGGTTGATGACTAAAATCACATCGCAGCCATCAGCAGGGGCGTAGGCAGGGGGGGGGCCACTGGGCCATGGCCCCCCCCTTGGGCGCCGAAGGCGCCCTTTGCGATTGGAGGGCGCCGAAGGCGCCTCCAATCGCAAATGCAATTGTGATATAATCGAATCGAAAAACAATCGCGACTGGAGGGCGCCCTCCAATCGCGAATGTGTTTACAGGGAAAATACGGATGGAGGGCGCCCTCGGAGGACGCCCATTCCAAATACGCCCTCCAAATACGGTTGGAGGGCTCCCTCGGGCGCCCTCCAACCACATTTGTAGGCTGTAGCTCTCTAAGCGTAACGGTGGTCGCCTATGTAAGCCGCTGTCCTGTAAATAAGCGCCCTCTCACCCGAAGGCGCCCTCCTGTAGGTCGCCACCCTGCTACACATTGCCGCCCTTCTGCTGATCGGCGTCCTCATAATTATTGGCGCTCTCCTACCTATTGCGCCCTCATGTGAAATTTTGAAGGCCGCCTTTCTCCCTTTTGGCACCCTCTTGTTCAGTGCCGCCCTCCTACCTATTGGTTCCCTAGTCCTTCCTGTTGAATGTTAATCGGGGCCCTTCTCCTATTGGCGCCCTCGTGTAGATCGCCGCCCTCCTAACCACTGGCACCCTCCTGTTGATCACCGCCCTCCTATCCACTGGCACCTTCCTGTTGACCAGCGCCCTCCGCACAGACGCCCTCCTGTTCGTGTCATCCTCTTGAGCAAAGGCGCCCTCCTCACCATTGCCACCCCCATTTTAATCGTCACCCTTCCGCTCATTGGCGACTTCCAGTTGATGACCGCCCTCCCACCTATTGGCGACCTCTTGTTGATCGCCACCCTCCTATTGGTGCTCTCCTGTTCCTCGCCACCCTCTTACCTGGTGGCACTGGCGCCCTCCTGTTGATTGTTGATCGGCGCCCTCCTACCTATTGGTGCCCTCCTGTTGATCGCTGCCCTTCTGTCCATTGGCGCCCTCCTGCTGCTCGCCAACTTCCTACCTATCGGTGCCCTACTGTCGAAACTCGGGATGTTGATCGGGGCTCTTCTACCTATTAGTGCCCTCCTGTGGATCGCAGCCCTTCTACCTATTGGCAACATCCGTTGATCGCTGCCCTCCTATCATTTATTTACTCCTTTGGCATGTTTTTCAACTTAGACGTTCTATTGCACATAGTTGATGTCTTGCCTGTGAAAACTGCCACAAATGAACGTGCATTCAGCACAATGAATGAAGTATCTATACCTACCAAAACTATCTACGCTCTACGATGCATAAAACACGTCTTTGGTCTTAACGGATTGATCCTACTTTACGTGCATCATGGCATCTATATGGATTACGATTAAGTATTGTCAACAGTTTCGGGCGCAACAGCAGGCATCTGAAGTTTCGGTGATTGAAACTGGTTATGTGGGTACACTGTATGCATCTGTGAGAAGGCTATGAAGGCTGGTCTGAGGTAATTTGGATGATGTTTACGCATCTCGTGCTCCGGTATCAATCCGATACGGTGATCTGGTGCGTAGATATGCCACCGCCAATAAACTTTTATACATCGACACCCATGAGCCAAGCTTTCTGTACAGTTTGTGTGGCAGCGGCCCGACCAAACCTTAGGTATTTTTTACACCTTCAAATTTGGTAAAAGAGCGAGAGGAGCTTTGAACAGTGATCGTATAAAAGGCGTGCCTAAAAAGCGGAGGAAAAGGTTGTTTTCAAAAATTTCGCGCGCCTTCGGCGCAGCATTTCAAGAACACTTGACCTTTTGTGACCTGGAGTATAAAGAATACACACGATGCAAAATCAATGCAGCACGACCTATACGAGGTTACGCAAAAAAAAAAACTGGTGGCATGGTAAAAAACGCCTCCCAACCCCCCAACCCACACTGAGCGATTTTTTATCTCGCGACCGTGTGGCGCCCTCCTTGGGTGAGGTGGCGCCCTCCAAACCCTTGGTCCCCCCCTTCGCGATTTTCTAAATACGCCGCTGGCCATCAGCGGTCGGCAGCGGGACAGACCGATGGCCCAGTCAGACTAAGGTCTGTCACTGGCCGACGACAGGCCGCCCAATCAACAATTATCACATTTAACCGGGCGCGGCGCGTTTCTGGCGTATCGATTGGTCCCGGGCCGGGCTGCGCGCGGACCGAGCTGCGCCGCCGGCCAGGGCCGGCTGCCGCCGCCGGGGAGGGACGGCAGGGGGGGGGGGGGGGTCGCGCCAGCGCCTGGGGCCATCTGTGCCGCCGGCAGCTGGCGACGCGGCCGGCAGTGGGGCGCGGTCGGAGGACGCGGCCGCGACGCAGAGGGCGGCGGAGCGCGACCGACGCACATCGGACCAGGTGGGTGAGACGGCGGTGAGAGGGCGGTGCGATAGCCGCGGGATGGGTCCCATATGGCTCGGTGAGAGAATGAGGGAGAATAGCGGCTATTTATCTGTCGGGTGTCCTAGCAGAGATGCTGATTGGATCCATCAAATGCTTAGCCTAAGCTGCCTGGGGGAGTTTCTTTTTTTTTGCATTTTTTTACGATGGCTATATCAAGCGTATAAAACGTTGTCACAGAACCACCAGAAACGCAATTAATGACAAACTTTTAGTGATTTATTTTTCGATAATTTTCTTAACTGAGACTTCACCAAACTCTTATCTTACCCTATACCTACCAACCTGAAACGGTTTGCAAAACTTGGAGGCTTGAGGAGCATACCAGTGCATATTCACTATGCAGTCAACAACTGAGTCACGCGCACTCAGTCTCCAAACTTAACCCACTTAGATAGGTATAACTTTAGTTGCCTTTGATTTGATGGCTCGAGTATTACCGATCTTTTTATGAATTAGGTTGAAACTTTAATGACGACTTCGTGTCGGAGATCAGTTACAATCGTTTTTAAGTACGTAGGACGTAGGTATCATGGTAAATGAGTCGTCCTGAGCTTCCTTTAATTATATATCATCTTATCCTTTATTCAATTACAGATGACCTCAAAGACACAGAAAAAGAAAAGCTACTACATTTATTGACCAGAGACTTGCCAGTGGGTGATTCGCTGAAACCTACTTATTTTGATCGATAATTGGAGCTAAGACTAAGCACGCCAACGAAAGATTCGGGAAATCTTAGCAGCGTTGCTTGTACCAGCTGGACGAACTGAGAGCATTGCTCAGGTTGTGACTCCAAACATTGAATAATGTTAACGCGTCTGTGGTCTGCAGTTTATTTGATACAAAGTTCATATAATCTTTGAGTGCACTTACGCAAGTGCATATAATTAAAATTCGTCACTGAACTGCGTAACGGGACAGAAAAGTGGAAACCTCTTAACCCTCGCCCCGTTGGGGGGGGGGGGCAATTTGCCCCCTCCTGTGGTTTTTCCTGAATAGCAAGAAAATGGCGGGGCGCAGCACCGCCCAATTTTCAGCACCTTCCCGGGCATCAATTTTACACCATCACACCAAATTTCAAGTCTTAGGTCACCTTAGGTCAGGAGTTATTGAGGTCGAACTGAGGTCATGTTCGAGCAAAAATGAGCAAAAAACATGCAATCTTGAAACGCTCACCAAATCTACATTTATCAAGCAATTTCTAAATTCTTTATTTAGTCTAGTAGACAAAAAGCGGCGCTACAAAACTGCTATCTCAGATTTTCAAAATTTCGGGTTTTTGACCCCAGAAAATAAAAAAAAAGATTTTTAAGAAAAACTAAAAAAGAAATTCAAAAATTTTCCGAATTTCGAAAACAACGGAATATATGTGATAGTCCCTGCGCTCTTCTATATACATACCAAATTTCAGATCGATATCTCGTTTTTTGGCCAAGTTATAACGAAAAAAAAAACTTCAAAAATGATGACGTCAAATTTTTTAACTCAATTTTTAGCGATTCTAGACCACGTACGGCAAAACACAGACCACCATTGAACTCCCCGTGACGAGCTGCATCGATTCGATATCCATTTTATGCAAACATCAGCTTTGAAATTTGACCTAATTTGACCTGACCTTGACCTGACCTTGACCTGACCTTGATCAAAACGTGACCTAAGCTGGCCCCAAAGGCTGCCTGACCCACATAATCGCATTTGTCATGTAAAATGGACCATAAAACATGTATCACACGACACTTTGGCATATTGTGACCCCCCAGTGACCTGACCTCTGTGACCTGACCTGGTATCATTGACCTCAAATGGCAAAATATGTGTTTGAAGAACATTTCCCCATCGATGATTTTCAATGAAATGCATTTTACTCGATTTTACAACGCATTTCTTGAAATGCCTGTAAACGGTGAAAATTCGACCTTTGACCTGACCTGTGACGTCATCGGTTTGACCTAGGTCAATAAAATTGGGTCACAATGTAGTTCCTTGATAGGTCTATCCAACACCGTTTGCCGCTTGTCGCTAGGTTGCGTGGTTCTCGAGATCTTAGGGGGGCCAAATTGCCCCCCCCCCCAACAGTGCGCGTTGCTCGGCAGAGCCCAACGGGGCGCGGGTTAAAAAGTAAACAATTTGTTGCAGCAGGCAGGAACTTTGAGGGCACTTGAGTCATTTCCGAATCGCCAAAGGAACGTAACCGTGGCTGCGAAAACGGATTAGCGGAGTTTTAATTAAAGGGCTCTGTAATTTCATTTAAGAATCCCTTTTACGGCCCCACCAAATCCGCTATCTCCGCAGTTTTGTTGTCACTTATACCTGTGGAGGAGACAAACATTTTTCGATCAGTTCATCGCTAAGGTCACTGGAAGTTACCAAAGGTGAAATTATCACGAACCATTTTCCCGATTTTGACATTTTTACAAATCGCACATAAGCCGGGAAGGAATAGAGCTACAGCGCCGCGGAAAGGAGCATTCCATAGCTTTCTTAACCCGGCAGTTGCTGGGGTATTTCGCCGCCCACCGTTTGCTGGGGGGGGGGGACGTTAAACGCCCCCAGCCGATAACTTGAGAACCAATAGGCGCGGCGAAACGCACGAGGCGGCAAACGAAAGAACGCGACGAGACGCTTCAGATGAGTACTTTAAAGTTGAATTTTGAGGTCACAGGTCGGGTCAAGGTCAGGTCAAACACCTGAAATCGGGCTTTCAGTAGCATGGACTTCAGGACTTCGCAATGGGCGACTCTCGTCTTAAACTCTGTCAAAACGGTGCACAATCCATCATATAAGGCCTACAAGAGTGTCAGCTCCATGTAGGGGTCAGTCAAGCATAGGTCAGGGTCAAGGTCAGGTCAACCGGGTAGGCACATATCCCCGAAAATCAAAACTGATATTCGCAGCCCGTGACACATGTTTTATGGGTAATTTGGGGCGTAGAGCACGATGGTGACATTCATTTTATCATATGTGTACGTGTTTGGCTCAAAAAGTTCAATTTAAGAAATGCATGTACCTATCATGGTCGTGAAGTAGTCACGAGAAATTGCCAAGATTCAGTTCAAGATTTTGGAAAATGCGGAACGATAATCAATACTCGAAGATAGCCAGTTGATTGTTCATGGTATTGGCAGTCTAATGGCGTTTACTGCATGTCTGTATGTCTGTTCTGTGATTTTATATGATTTTTTGAACATATGCCGTTTTTGGTCGAAAACTCAGAAATCATGACGTCACTAAAACCTCGATATCTCAAAAATTGTCGGACCGATTTTTTTGAAACTTGGTCACAATAAACTTCAATCAATTCCCTACAGGTACCCAAAATTTGGCGCGCCTGCGGCGCGCCGTTTTTATGCTGTGGCCCGGTGAAAAAAGTGGGGGCGTTTAACGCCCCCCCAGCAACTCGCGGGTTAACCTGGGCATGACTGGGGGGGGGGGGAGCTCTACAGAGCCCCCTCTGGTTTTTCCGCAATATCTTATAAACTACGTGACGTATCAACACGAAACGCGGTACCTTCAGCGGCATCAAATTGTCATCTTGTGTCTAACTCACAACTTTCCAGCTACCATAAGTCCGCTGAAAATGACGTCAGAGTGACGACATGTCGGCCGACTTTGATGCAAAACATTGAACTACGATAATCGCTCTCAAAGGCTCTGTTTTTAAACTAGATCCATTTTTTGCATATGAGTCGACTGCGAATACACGTGCCTATCAAACTACCATCTCGGATTCTCATTATTTTTTTAATATACATATACAATAACAAATACTTAAAAAAACTTTTTGACTTAAAAATAAATATATGCTTGTGATAGTAAACCCACTGGTGAACTACCATAGAAAGCTGTAGCCCAATATCTCTAAAAATGGCTGAGTTACGCATTACAATCAAAATTTCATAATTTTCGATTTTTCAAATCCATATTTCAGTACGTTTTTTTTACGTCTTACAGTGACGTAAGTATAAGCACCATCGTCTTCCTGAGCTCAAACTGCATAGTGCATATGATTGATACCATTTTGTTGAAAAATTTAGTTGTTAAAATTTGATCCTTTTTTACCTGGACGTGACAGGAGCTCAGCTCATTGCCGCTGAAAATGACCTCACGAATTGACTCAGACGATTTAAATTGTAAGTGGAAAACAATGGAAGTGTTTTTGAGTTATATTTCTTTAACCCTCTCCGGCCAAGGGGGGGGTTGATGCAACCCCCCCTAAGGTTTTTCGCAAATAACTCGCGTAAAAAGCGGCCGATCATGACGAAACTTTCAGTACCCTCGCATTGATCAATTTTACACCTACCCTGAAAATTTCATGACCCTGACCCAAATGAACTTTGACCTGTGACCTCTTTTCCGAGACCATGTTTGGCCGGAATCGCGATTCCGCGTATGTCGGCTCGCATTAGCGGCGCGTTTGCAAGCTTTTCGTGGTTTCAAACGTTCAAACATGTGATTTGATGCTGCCCCCATGCATTAGGGTGGGTGTCAAGGTCACCTGAAGGTCAGGTCAGGTCATTGACCTTTGGTGACCTCGGTTCACTTTTCGAGTTTTACATGTTTCTAGGCTAGTTTTTGGAGCTGAGTTCGAATTTAGCAACCCTTTGAACATTTATGAAGTAGTTTTGGTGACTTCGTTACATGTTACGAAGCTGTCAGAGGCGGTTGACACGTACTACGAATACCCGTCACGACCCCTACCGGTTGACCTGACCTGACCTGACCCGACTTGGTCTAAATGCTTAAAGACATCATCTCTGATCAAAACTAAGACGATATTCGTGATCAGCACCCCGAAAAACCCCGTAGCAGCCACACTTTACGACTTTCTAACAGGTCCCGATTTTCCCGACTTTGGGTCATTGACCTGACCTGGAAGGTCAACCAATGACCTAGGACCTTAAAATTGGGTATCATCGGCTTCCTCTTGTCACGGGCAACACGCTCGTTGTTTTCCGCGAACCTCTAGCTCCATCAGGGGCCAAACGGCAAGGGAGGGGTCCAACCGACCCCCCCCCCCGCTACACATTAGAAGCTGGCAAACGCCGCACACATGCGAGGGTTAAAGCAATTCACAACTTTTAGTCTTGAAGTTTTGGGGCTCTACCTCCAATAAACGTTCATGCAGGAAAATTTACCAAATTTAACAAGCGAATACATGATACCTTCAATGCGTTGTGACACGCTGCCTGTAGCAGCTCCATGAATATTCGTGTCATAATGCGTGTTTTTTTTTTTCAATTCTGCTGATTCTGCCGATCCTGCCGATCCCGCTGATCGCGTTGCTGATGTGTCGGCGCGGTGTCGGTCGCGACGGTCCGATCTCCGTCGGCACGGTGACGCGGTGTCCTCTCGGCCCGCTGATGGGTTCCGGCCGGTAATTACCTGGTCCGATGGTAACGGTCCCGATCAGTACCACTTCCGCGCCGTCTCACGCCACTCCGGCCGGTTCTCGGAGCTGGCGACACGCGACGGGCGAGGTAGTCCCAGGCAGATGTCTGGAGCTACAGGGATACCACTCGAGGTGGCTGTGTGATCAGACAAATACTTTAACCAATCAGTTTGGTTAGGTCGTATGTCCTTAGGCCAGTTGTATTGGATCGTCGTAACGAAAGGTTGGTGTGTAGGCATTTTTTCCGAAACCGACGTCCCTACTCGATTTTTTTTTTTAAACTCAGCGCTCGGCTTTGTTCAGAGCTACGTAAAAGTAGAGGTCTTACAAATTTATCACCGGCCAAGTTTAATATGTATTTTATGTAATGGAATATTATAACTTAATTTTGCAGACCTAAATAGGCTCTTAGCCGATTTTTGAACAAGGCCGGCAAAAATGTTGCCTGAGTTCTAGCTGGTGTAGCATTTTCGCAATACCTCATATACTTATAGGCATGTAGTATTATTTTATGACGATAGCCGGAGGTACAGACATGAGGTCGCACAGAAGAAAAAACAGATAACTCCATCAGACTTTTAAGCTCAATCTTAATCTTGAAATTGCCCACTCCCTCCCTAGGCTCGAAATCTTCCCTGACAGGAATTAACAGCACGATGCTTCATGCCCAGGTGTAAATTATATTCCGAAAGCACGGTACACAGAGCACACTTCACCCCTCCCTTGTTCACCAGAAGTAATAGAGCAAAGAGCAGAAACCATTCTGCACAAAGCAACACGATACGCCGAGAGCTAGGAATAGACAATGATAATAATCTGACATCACATATCACATATCGGTCCGCTGAGCGTGCGCGTTGATTGGCTGATGCACAACCTGAAACAAACCTAATCAGCGCGAAACGGAGATGCGCTCGCTACGCGTACAGCAAAGTCTGTGACCCCCTGATCATATATAGCCACTAGAGGTGGCAAAATATGGACCCGAGGACCCGGTCCAAAGAACCGGTCTGGACCCATATGGGTCCAGACCGGTTCCTGGAAATTTTATGACGGGTCCAACCGGGTCTTACCATAAACCATACATCTTGCACACTACGCCTGATTGCAAAATATGAAGTGAATGGAAGGAAAACATTTTCTTATGTATGCTCCTTTCCACACCGTAGCTCGTAAGTATTCCCAGAGGGAAAAGCTGTTTTACATGATGCAACTAATGATTTCTACAAATGATTTGCATTAATTGACTTTTGGGGAACGGGTCCAACTGGTTCCGATTCCAACTTATACCGGGTATGACTGGTTCCAGAAATGTTCAGCCGGGTCTGGTTCGAGTCTGGTTCCCAAAATTGTCACCTTTTGCCACCTCTAATAGCCACTGCGTGATAGGATACTCACAGTCACATGCTGGGAATTGTATCACATTAGAGTGTGCTCCATTTGGGTATCTCGATTACACGACCTGATACGGGATGTTTTGTGACCCTCATCTCGGGAGCTATTTGATGGATGTAAGGTATTTTCAAGTGGCTGTACTATATAAATTGCCGAGGATACAAAGGCTGTCAAGAATTTACGTTAACCCCAGAGGCGTCGCCATGGGTTTTTGAGTGGGGGGGGGGGGGAGACGAAGCTCGACGGATCCTGCAGGATTTTTTTTTTATATGCTAGAACCCCGCAACCCCGTTTCCAGCCTTTTCTCTGGATTTGATGCACTTTATTTTCGATGTAGCTGGTTTTTATTATTTTTATTGCGCACTTCATTTCATTGTGTTCATTCAGGCATAATTTCTAAAGCCCAGGGCATCGTGGGACACAAAGAATAAACGACACACTATGGTTTGATTTTATTTTTTAATGTCAGAATGCATGGGTGTCACTAAGATATTTTGATTTTTCAGAAGAACGCCTTTGAGTACGAATGGTAAATGTAAATGGGGAAGGTTTGCACTTGCTTATTTCCGGTTTGTTTACTTAAATTATAAATACATAGAACACAAGTACCAAAATTGACTTTCCTCAAAGGAAGCCGTTTAACTTTTGGTGATAAACTTTCGTGCTATTCATTGTTAAATATGCTCGTTTGGCTTCAGCTACAGACCAAGCGAAGCATATTCTATATAGGTACCTAAAGGCATGTGCTTAATTTTGACCGCCTAAATCGGCTTTCGTCTCTCTTTGAATTGCTCGTGCAATGTCGCATTAACGTGAGTCTTTTCGATTCACGTGTGATTGAAAGGCTCTTGACTTAACCCTATTCCTGGCGGGCTCCGCCGGGACAAGAAATTGGCGGGGGGGGGGGGCGATTCGCCCCCCCCCCTTCAGGTCTCAAAAACTACACATAGCAGCGACAAACGGCAAACGGCGTTTGATAGGTCGTTTGAAGATCTACAACTTTTACATAAAACATTTTCAGGTCAGGTCAATATTGAGGTCACCAGAGGTCATCAACGATAAAATGTTTTGGAATTAGTTACCTATATAACTTTTAAACTAAGAAACATAGAGACATAAAACAAATGCATTTTTTGTTGCTCTCGCCGAGGCGATGCGAAATAAGTATGTGATGACCTTCACAGGTCAATTTGAAATTTGACCTGAGGTCAAGGTCAGGTCACTCATCAATGAGGTTGTGGGGTATGGTCATGCTGCATACCAAACGACGCGCCTTGACCAGGCGAGCAGTTTGGTACCACTTACAAGTCTTTAGCACCATCATGTGATTTATTGACAGAAAAATGATTTATGACGTCACATGACCTCAGATGACCTTTGCCGGTGCCCCTGTCAATTAGCGGCACCAGGATCATCACCGATGAGATAATCTTCCATAATACTGAAAGAATTGGGTGGTTTTGACTCGTTTACACGAAGCAGGAGGCGTTTCAATATTTTCCCATAGGCTTGCAATGTAAAGGTCACGAGTCTGGCCTGACCTCAGGTCACAGATATGAAAATTCTGAGATAAACAAATTGCACATACTGGTACCCTAACTAAAGCCTGAAGAGAAGAAATTGATCGGTCAAAAACTCTAGCTCTGGCGTGATTGCAAACTTTTCTGAGGTAGGGTCACCAAACCGCCTCTGGTGACCTGACCTGAGGTCAGATTAAGTCAAAATTTTCAGAAATGTTGCGTAAAAGCCTTTTAGGAAAAGTCAGAAAATTTGAGCTTCCTAGCTCAAAGTGTTTGGGAGAAATAACCAAAAAACCTCAGGGGGCTCCTGACGCCCTCCCCCCCCCCCCCCCCCCCCCGCCAGGAATAAATAGGGTTAAGCCATGACAAACAGATGGCTTCGAAATTTATGCAAAGAAAGTTTTGCCTCCTACGAACATTTAAATGCCTATCCATCAATCAAGCAACTGCTCAAAGGTCAATCCACTAACATAACAAATCCTTAAGGACCTTTCATATTCCACTTGTTTTCATCGAACTGCACGCCAATATTCGTTCATTGAATGTATCTGTCAATATTCAATCAGCGCTGTTCAATGTCATTTAATTTACAAATTCAGACTGAACGCGCCAGACACTTTTCCAGCTACACGCTGCGCGGGCTGAGCGACCGAAGCTAGTCGCTTTTCAACTTTCGTTGAGCTGATACTTTGGCGCTTTCAGCTGCGCCGGCGATTTGCATCCCCTCCTCGAGTTGACGACAGTTGCAGGCCGTCACGCAATTAATAAGGCAGGACGTGTCTGGTAGAAAGCGATACGGCAATGTCAATTTATTTATGGGACATTTTAATTGATGATATTCCAGCAATGTTTCATTGTGCTGTCGTGGAATATTACTGATGCATAACGAATGTCTTGGGATGTGTGGCATATCCTAATACACCGCTCATATTTTCATGGCCATTTGTTTGTTTCAGGGTTCATACAACGAATCAAGTCGTCGTCGGAGAGATCCGAATACTGGATACAGACATCCCGTCGCTCCAAACGAGAAGTAAATCATTTCATACCAGGACTTTGTCATCCTGAACTGTGCCGGGCAGGCTATCACAGCCAACGGAAAGTTTCCTCTGCAAGGAAATTAACAGCTGCGATCCCAGCTAACGAACTCACGGCCGGCACTCGCGGATAAATCCACTCAGTGATTCGAGCCGCGAGCTTACCGAGCCGCCGGGCCGTGGAGGCACGACTGCAGAGCTGAGGCCGTCCGCGCCAGGTCAGCGAAACCTGCTGACCACAAGATACAACTGCTGACTGCTGAGGGCATTACCGGCCCGGCTGAGCCGCGTCTGATGCTGGGTCAGCTGCGCCACTGACGGCGACTGACGCGGCACGTCAGGGTGACGTGGGGCAGACAGAGTCACACGGCAGGGTCGACGACAGCTCGGCGTGGCAACACCAGATCTCTGCGGCTGCCTGCAGAATTGGGCGTGGGACTGAAATCAATCTCACTCGGTAATAGTTACCAGCGCTGGTACTTTCCGTGATACCAGAAACTCAGTGACGTCAGTGACTCCAGTGACGTCAGACACTGCTGGGACAGTTCCCAGTGTGCGCAGTGACGCCAGACGAACCATTGACTCCAGTAACTCCGTGACACCAGTGACTCCAGTGACTCCAGTGACGTCAGTGACTCCAGTGACGCGCCCCGGCCAGCCGGGAGCCCGAGACTGGCCACGATGAGATGAAGAAACAAAACGTTCGCACCCTCTCTCTGATCGTCTGTACTCTCACCTACCTGCTGGTCGGTGCGGCCGTGTTCGACGCCTTGGAGTCGGAGAACGAGAGTCGCACGCTGCACCTCCTCAACAGTGAGTATACATATATGGGATCGGCCGGGTCCGTCTATCTATACGCTGTAGCTGATATCTATCAAGTAGTGGGCAGAGATATAGCAAGGGAAATCTTGCACATTTGTAGATGTGTTGATTCTACATAGTTGATAGGTCAGACGGCTTCTCATAATCTACTGTCCATGTAAAAACCCTTTTCGATAAATAACGTAACGTTAGTAACTATCAGCTACTTCTAAAAAAAGCTTAAAGGAAATAGTTCACTTTTTAACATGGGTTTTGAACTGGAATAGCAGTTCTGTAGCTTGGGCTGAGACGAGCATAAATCAGGAGCTTTTACAGCCCAACGATCACCCTAGGCAAAGATATTCTATTTCAAAGGTGTCTTGCGTTGAGGATGTGTGCCTTGCATATATTTCCATCCAGTATGAAAAGAGCATGGGTCCCGAAAATTCTTCAGAAAGTAGAGAAATTATCTACAAGAACTCTAGAGAAATTCTCGTACTGATCAATTAGGACATTCAGGGGAACATTATCAGATCGAGCAGATCGCCCAAATGCCGGTGGCTGCGATAATTTCTCTGTTTCTGAAGAATTTTCGGGACCCATGCTCTTTTCATACTGGATCGCGTGTGCCTTACAGAAACTGAAAAGTTCTTCCTATATCAAAATATAGAAAATAATCTTTTGTTATAAAAAGGTTTTATTTTCTTTGCTGATTATTTTGAACATAAAAAATCATAAATCCGTTGCAAAAAAAATAATTTCGTGAAAGTGAACTATTTCCTTTAAGTATCAATGCAACTCGAGCAAAGTGCTGAGTCGTCTGTTCCAGGAGCGTTGGTAAGTATAAGATGTTAATAAATAAGAATGATCAATCAGATAATAAGAAATTTAAAAAAAAATATTGAAGAAAAAGGAGGAGGAAAAAAAAAAACAAACAAACCATCGTCGTTAGCTCTCCAACTACGTTATACGAGTAGACGTCATGAAATTAATACTGAACTCATCTACATTTAGACTTCCTCGCATATCTCAACAAGTTTATGAAAATGGCCGCTTTATTTGACAAACTGCAAGTGTTAACTGACTTTTATGCGATCCTACATCTTCATTACCGCGTCACAGTAGTCTTCAATTATTTAATCAAGGTGTGATTTATGCTGTTTTCCTGTGCATGGTTTTTAACAGCAGTCGGTAGATTATGTTATGTTACGATACACTGTCACACCCCAGCTCTTTTTGACAACCACGACTTTAGAGATACCAGCCAACGATATTCTAATCGGTATTCTCCCTTCCCCCTTGACTAGTATCTATATCAATATCCGCCGCCGCCTTGAAAAAAGAACAATGCATTGAAAAAAAATATATCAAAGCTTCAAGATTAAATTGTTTCGATACCATCCAAAATCATTTTTGTAGGTATCATCTCGGTAAATGGCCAGTGCTAGAGCGGGTCACGAAGTAAATTATTCCGCATGATTATCGACAACTCGGTTGAGGGAAACTGATGGAGATGGCCTCATCCCATGAGCCGTCCCGGTCCAATCAACTTGTTATTAGTATCAATGACCAATGGATGATGCTGCCGAGTCGGCACGTCAACAAGTTCTCACAATTTTTAGGCCTCATTAGGCATATCCAGTATGCAGCTACATATTTTGAGCGCGAAAAATCGTACCAACCAGGTAACTCTTATAGCCTCTTTATTTAAGGTGAGGTTCTGGGATGCAAAGCAACCTTCATGCTGTTCTTTATTAAAGTATCTTCCGTCTATCCAAATGATCACATATCACCAACGGTCGCGCATCAAGTGTGGCAGTATTCAGGATACCTACGTCTCCCGCCCCCGCCGACGGCACCCTCCTTTGATGGGGTGTGTATATGCCGGCGGGCGTAGCTCCACTGAGGCGCTGCCAATTGATTACTGAGAACGAGCCAGGGGCAGTGCCGACAGCCGCGCACCCGTTCAACCTGTGGCCCTAATTGGGGCGGTGGAGGCGGTGTGGCGGAAGGGTGGCGGTAGGGCGGTGGTAGGGCGGTGGTTACGGTAGGATGATAGGGCAGTGGAAGGGCGTTGGTGGCGATGCGGGGAAAGGGTGGCGGTGTGGCGAAAGGGTGGCGATGGGGCGGTGGTAGGGCGGTGGCGGTGAGAGAGCGGTGGTAGGGCGTTATCGATGGCGATGGTAGCTGACGTAGGGTGGTGGTGGCGGTGGCGATGGTAGGGCGGTGGTAAGGCGGTGGTGGTAGCGATGGGTAGGGCGGTAGAAGGGCGGTGACGGCGGTGGAGATGGTAAGGCAATGGAAGGATGGTGGTAGGATGGTTGTGTGATGACTAGGATCGAGGTGGTAATGTGGGACGGCATTGCGATGAGCGAATACTGAGACTACATTGAGAGTCATTGGTTGATAGGAGCCCTTAGTAGCTCAGCAGTGGTGATGATCAGCCCTCGGTAGCTCGGCGGTCTGATCAGCCCCGGTAGCTCAGCGGTGGCAGCCAGGAGCCGGCAGCGGCGCCCGGGGGCGGCGGCGCGCTCAGTTGGCCGTCCGCCCGCGGCTCTCCCCGGCAGGCCGGCCTCGATCGACCTCAACTCGGTCTAATGCCGCCATATTTTAGTGCCCAGCGCAAGCAGAGGGACTCGCAGGCACGTCAAGACGCTGCTCGGAGACGGGCCCGGAGCGGCCGGCCTTAAACGGACGCTGCACGACATTCCATGTTTGGCAGCGAGTTATGTTGGACAGAAAAGTGGACCACTTTTGAGCGGCTGCGATTTGAAAGCATCGCCGATCTGTGGTGATCGAGCTATAACGCATGGAATGAGCGTCATATGTCCTTGAGTTCAGAGAAACATCACGGGAAAACTCCTGGTCCTACTCAAAGCCAAACATATCTAAATTACAACAGTTTATCCTTAATTAACTGCCAGTTTCTTGCCAGGAACTATATCACAAACACTATGTTATTGCGAAACTTGCTCACGTGTTGTCAACAGTTGAGAACTTGCTGTGCTGAAGTAGCAAGACAATGGATAATGGGTACTGCGGTAGCATACCGCGAACGAGCAGAGTGGCTTGAACTTTAACAATTATCCATGACTAAATGGTCCTTTATTCTAAATTTAGCACACCAAGTGCCCTGCAATCTCTACCCTTAACGGCATGGAAGAGCGGCTAAAATCGTTCGAACTCGTCCATTCTTGCTATCTTTCCAAGCCGGGGCGAGTGCTCCGTTATACATCAGTCAAACGAGGCTACTGGTGACGAAACAGGGCCTCGCCTCTGGCCTGCAACTCGATAGCATCGTGCCGAACCGGCTCCAAACTTCTGAGCGCGCTAGCAAACAGTTGGAGCCGGGTCCAGTTACAGGCCGGTTGGTGCGGGACCATTCTGCAGAGAGCGGCGCTCGAGTGCCGGGCGGCCGAGCAGTCTCGAACGGGAGGAGCTCTCCTAGCGACAGGGTGCTCCATGGATATTGGACAGTCTGGGATGGGACTGATGATGGAGAATTACCTGAGATGCATGAGCAAGTGAATGCTATCACGAGCAGATTTGATTTTCCTATTCGCCCAGCATTTTAATCCGTTTGTAATACCCGTTTACTCTGCTCATGTATCCCCGGTCAATGATAAGGCATCAAACGAGTGCCAATTTTGACTTAATGACACTTAAGCCTAGAGCGTCCTATATATTTGCGCAGGTTCTTTGTGATGTGCACTCGGTACCTTTGTATTTGCTGTAAGTAGACCAACAATGGACAATTATCCGACCATATGGCCATTATGCACTCGGCGGCGTTCATGTCTGGTACGCTGTCACGCTCGCCGGCCGTTGTATATCCAGTAATTAATTTATTCAGCACCGTGAGAGCCTATCATTACACACCCCGCCGCCGCCGCAGCCGTCGCGTTGTCATACCCGTGTCCCGCACTGCTGCCTGTCAGCTCCCACCATCTTGTTGGGCACTTTCCGGCAACCATTCACCGTGGACTCCTGTCCCGCTCCTGACATGGTATGGCGATGGCGGTATGGCGCCATACCTCGCCATGGTATGGCGAGGTATGGCGACTGTCTATCAGGGACTCGCCCTCCCCTCCTCTCCCAACCGGCTACCAACCCCATCCCAACCTCTGACGTCATACCTCCGTCTGATATCCCTTCAGCCGTGCCCCAGCCACGTCAGGTCACGACCAATATCCCCCGTCGCCGGCGGCGCCAGCCCTAAACGGATCATCCCGGCCGGCCGGACGTGCCGTGTCGCCGCCGGCGCGGCCGTGTGTCCTGCTGACCAGTTGATAAGCTGCGGATCAGGCACCTGTTCCCAGAGCCGGAGGGTCAGCACGTCCGCAGAGATGCTGAGTGTCGCAGGCTGGGGCGGCCGTGGACCCGCGCGGGGGCGCTGGGCTGTGCCGTTGGCGACGCGACGGAGGCAGGTTGTTGGGTGCGTCGGTCCTAAGCCGGTGGTGGGCGGTTCTCAGTAGTGGGATGGTTGGGTTGGAGACGGGAGACAGACGGGATCGGGAGACGTGGCGCGGGAAACGGGGATGGAGACGGAGGCGAGGACCAAGAAGTAAGAGAGCAGACGGGAGACAGGTGAAAGGAGACGTGAGCTTAGGATGGAAGACCGAAGACGGAGAAAAGGCACGGCTGGTGCCGGAAGGTTACTGGTGGATTCAGAAAGGTGGTGTTGGACGTTACAGGGGCATACTCCTGAAAAAAAACTTATCCAATGTCCAAAAAGTCATTGGATTTCTCTTTTATGTTATTCTGTAATGTGAAGAAACATTATAGCATATGCTCTTTTTTTTTTTAGAAAACAACAATGGAAAATGTGTGACGGACAAACTTCTCATGTGCCCCCCTCCTCGCTTTTGAAATCGTCAGTCCGTGGAAGACTGAAGAGTAGATACGAGGAACAAGAGTTTGGCAGCGGACGCCCACGGTGAACGACAGACGATGCCATAAGACGGCTTCTGCTCATGACGGACTGAAAATGACGGACTGTAGCATCCCTGTGA